ACAGACCGCCCCCACCCCACGCACCGCACGGATCCACCGCCCACTCGGGGAGCAGCTGCCGGATCCATTCACAGGCTGGTCCCTCCATTCCAGGGCTGCCCCACCCCCGGAGGTCCGCCCCCGATCCAGGGGTAGCCTCTCCGAGCCCAGCCCTTTCATGTCAGAGCCACAAGTTAGAGAGGGGCCTCCCCGACAAGGACAAGTTTCCCCTGCGTCCCGCTGACCCCCCGCTTCGGGTCTGGCCGCCCTGTTTCATGGACCGGTCACTCCATTTCACCGCCTGCCGAGGTCTCCCCTCTGGGTCCCAGCCGTCCCCTTTCTATCACACACCAGCCTAATCTTAGAAGAGTAAACTGGGGGGACAGAATCAGCACCCCACTCCCAGACGCTGGGGCAATGCCAGGGGCAGAGGAGGGAAGTGGGCCTCAGGGTATGGCCATCTTTGAACTTGTCCTGGCTGGCCGAGCCGTCCACCCCTCCTAGCCTCAGACAGGATGCCCGGGACAGAGCCTCCCTGTTTTCATGCTCCCCGAGCTCCAGAGCCCTCTTCCACGCCAGTCACGGCCGGAGTGTGTCTCCTGGAGCCAGACACTCAGCCCACGCGGGTGGTGCCAGGGTTCTAGGAATGGATGCCTCGGGTGGCGTGAACCCTGGGCGGAGGGTTCACTCTTCCTCCCCTTCAGGCCTGAGGCTGCAGGGCCTCCGAGCGGGGAGGTGAGGAGGGGAAAGTTCCTCTCTGTAGGAGCCTTGTCTTCCCTCTCTGGACTGTGGGTGCCTTGTATGGCCATTGCTGCTTTCTCTGCCCGGGGCTGTGAGGATTGGATTCACCCACCCCCTGAAGTGACGCACCCCTCTCCCCCCAAGTGCACAGGCCACTCAGACTGGCTGTTTTGTAGGCACTGCACCTCCAAGGGGACGGAGGAGGACCCGGACCTCACTACTTCCTGGCAGCTTCTTTTGGGGTTGTTCCCCACCCCCATCCGGAGCTGGGGGAGCTGGGGGAGCTCGGGTGGTGTGCGGTCCTGCCTGTTGTGCAGGGTGCGATGGCTGCCAGGCATAGTTCTGCCCTTGGGTCAGACTTGGCACCCATTTCCCCACACACTCAAGGTTGGCATGGCCTGCAGACAGGTATTTTTTTCACATAAAAATAAGTAAGCTTTAAAGGAGGTTGGGGGGGGGGTGTCTCTTTTTAATCGGGCTCTGAAAGCCTCCAGGCTCTCCCCGTGGGAACGGGGAGCAGTCACAGCTTCTAGCATGCTCATGTGGCTCTCGTGCTTCTGCACATTCCCCCGAGCTGTTCGAAGGACTGAGAACGTCTTTGTGAGTTTGCAGTCCTGAGGTCCTGTCTTCTGAGAGTCTTCCACGCGGGGCCGGGACACTGAGCTGTAGTCTCGGAAAGGAAAGAGCGTGACTGGCAGATTGCAGGGCTGTCAGTTTGCTGAGTGTGGAGGTCTTCTGACTTCGGCTTGTCCTGCCCTCCCAGCAGCCCTTTGTAAAGAGCCCCTTCGGCCGCTGCTGGCATCACTACCTGCCTTTTACAAAGTGAGGAGACTAAGAGAGGCCGAGCCACTTGCCCAAGGCTGCACAGCCTCTGCATTGACAAAGCCAGGACTGGAGCCCACCCCAGCTCTAGACCCGCAGCTGCCCGAGGCCATTCCTCCTGAGGAGGGCTGAGCTGCAGGGAAGGGAGGGTCACGTCAGGGTGGTGGCTGCCACCTGTAACTTCTGCCGCCTTCCACCCCAGGCTCCCCGTTGTGTGGATCCTGGCTGCCCAACTTCCTTGGCCTCAGCTCCCAGGGGGCCAGCCGCGCCTGACTGACCAGAGCCTGGGCAGGAGGAGCGGGGCGTGCAGGAGGGGAGAGGAATTTGCCTCTGTGCTCGGCCGTCAGCTGTCTGGCTGACTGCTCTGCACCCTGCCCGTCAGCTGTTTCCTCAGTTAGCGCAGACACAGAGGCCAGGCCTCGCTTTTATTTTTCTCCTGAGCGTGCCCTCGGCCGTGAGCCTCCTGGCCCCCGGAGCGGGAGAGCGTACGGTCTGCCCTGTGGTGAGCCGAGAGGGGCAGGGGTCTGGGCTGGACTTGGTTTTTTGGGCCTTAAAGAAATTGGGGAACTCTCCCCTCCCCACAGCTGCTAGTGACAGACTCACCATGTGCTATTTAATAAGTTACCAGTCGCTCTTCGGGCAGGAAAACATAAACACGGCCTTTCCCTGTGTGTGCTCTCGCCTGTGCTGTGGGGTGGCGGCTGGTGGCTTTTCTCATTACTGTTTAGACGCTGGTTTGGCCGGGAGTTGCCCTGTTCTCTGGCCGGAGTTTCCTGGACAGAGTTCCCCAGCACGGAGGAGCGCTCTGATGACGTTTTCTGACCTGACCCCTTGGTTTCCCCCTGTTCCCCTTCCTAGTGCGTGGCGGGGGTGGGGGATGGGGGGTTGGGGGGTGAGAGGGGCTGTGACCACTAAGGATCACTCCTGCTTGATGGGAGACAGGCACTGGCTCAGCACTTGGTGCGCGTCCTCACGGCCATCCCGAGGGAGGGGTTTTATCTCTGCTCGCAGATGTGGAAACCCGAGCTCTGGAAACGTCCGCTGGGGGAGCTGGGATTGGGGCCTAGACTGACCCAGTTCTGGATCTGGTCATTTTATTTTATTTTATTTTTCAGAGAGGAAGGGAGAGGGGGAGAGAGAGAGAAACATCAGTGATGAGAGAGAATCATCGATCGGCTGCCTCCTGTAGGCCCCCCGCACTGGGGATTGAGCCTGCAAACCAGGCATGTGCCCTGACCAGGAATCAAACCACGACCTCCTGACTCTCAACCACTGGGCTGGATCTGGTCGTTTTAATCATAATCAGGTAATAGGTATGATCTGTGACTGACCAGGGGGCCTGCTGAGTGTTGCTAGTTACCTTTAAAAGTTGCGCCCGGCGGCCACCCCCGGGACATGCCTCTGTGGCAGAGGGCGGGTCCAGCGCAGGCCTCCATAGCTTTGCCTGCCCCCTCCCAGGGGAGCAGCCAGCTGTTGGCAATGCCCAGTTGCCGCTGGAATCTGGACATGTCTTCGTTCAGCTTCTCAGCAGTCTTGACCCTCTGGAAACAGTGCCTCATTGTCTGTCCTTGGAGGGGTACTGGGGGTGGGGAGTTGCCTGGGGCATTTGGGGCTGTGGAGCCTCCCTGTTCCCATGGAAAGTCTGGACTTGGGGCTTGGCTGGCTGTGGTGCCTCTGTGTTCGGCCGGGGTCAGGGCGCCCAGCTGCTGGGCCTGTGCAGGGCATCCTGGAGCGACATGCCCTCAGGGGCCCTGAGTCAGTGCCAGGGCTTCTCTGGGGCTGTGCGCTGGCGAAGGCAGAGCTGGGCTTCAAACCCTGGGTGTCTGATTCTGAGCAGGTGCCCTTTCTGCTGTGCTGAGGGGTCTGCTGCCTGGGCAGCCACGGCTTAGGGTGGAAAGGCTGGGGCTTCTGGCGCCGTAGCCCCACCACGGTGGGTTGGGGGTCTTCTGCGGGAACATCTCAGTCTTCCTTCCTTCCAGCTTCCGGGTGATCCCCATGCACCGGGGAGGCTGGGTGGGCCCTTCGCTGAGGGGCCGATGGGAGGCGCTGAGCAGCCCTCTGCCTCCGTTGATGCATGAGGCGTGTGACCCTCCAGATGGAGGATGTTGAGAGAACTTCCTCCAGCGTCACTCTCCTCCCAGCCGCTTGCCTTCGGTAGTGATCACACACCTCTGCGAACACTTCTGTTTTCAGTGTCTGCAGAACTCTTACCCGAACACTGACTGAGCATGTAGTGTGTGCGGGCACTGTGCCGGGCGCCTTACGTACGTTGCTGTGTTGAATCGTGTGGCCGCACGGGATGCAGGTTCGTCATTGCTGCTGCCCGTTTTATAGATGACGAAATAGGCGCAGAGGGGGCGAGCCCGCCGCCACGTGCTTTCGCTAGCGGGTGCCAGGCTGGGGTTTAACGCAGAGTGAGCTTGTGACCAGTCTTCACACTTCAGTTCATGTCCTGGATCGAGTCCTGAGTGCCTCTTGGTTTGCTTGCTTTCCCTTCTCTGTTCCGTCTCCGACATCTGTCCTTTTCCTCTTCTCTGTGGCTTCTCCTCCTTGTTCTTTCCTGGGGACTCAGGATGGGGCGCTGGGCACCTGCAGCAATATCTCTGCCTCTGTGAGGGCTCCACTTCTCCACCTGTCCCCAGTCCCGTCACCTGTTACCTGCAAGACAGCCTGGGGGCTTACCGCACAGGGCTGTCCTCCGAGGCCCCTCGTCTCGCCTTCCTGGTGGCTCGGAGGCCTCTGTGCGCCCTGCCCCCTACACGCTCCTGTCTGTTCATGGCTGCCTTTGGAGCCAGCCCATGTCGAGGAGGAAGTTGTTGACACCTTTTCAGGTGGAGAACTGAGGGTGTCTTGTGGGAGGAAGAGAGTAAGCGAAAGAATTAGGAAGCTGAGTGTTCCCAGAAATCTCGACAAAGCACCTGATGGAAGGGGCATCGGAGATCATCTCACCGGGGATGGGCCCGAGGCGCCACAGCCTCCAGCCCACAGTGCCTTCCAGTTGTGGTCTTGTTGGGAGTCTCGCTGGCCTCAAGCCTGCATCTGCGTCCGGATAAGTCTTCCAGCTCCCGAACTGATTGCCTAACCAGTGGGGCTCAGGGCCGGCCTCTCCAGGGAGGCCTTGGACGGGCCAGTGGCAGGCAGAATGTGTGGTTGGCCAGACTCGGCAGAGCCCTGGTGGCCAATTTTCCCCTTAAAGACGGCCTCTTAATGCTTATTTCTGTGTGATTGTGGTATTGTGGTTTTATGGGAGAACATTGTTATTGTTAGGTGCATTCTGAACTATTCGGGAGTAAAATGTCATGTCTGTAACTTAGTTTTAAAGAATATAGTAACAAAGAGTAGGTGTGTGTGTGTGTGTGTGTGTGTGTGTGTGTGTGGTGTATATGGGTGATGCATACATTTTTTTAATACAAAATGGCAAAATGTTGCCGAGACCGGTTTGGCTCGGTGGATGGAGCGTCGGCCTGCGGACTGAAGGGTCCCAGGTTCGATTCCGGTCAGGGGCATGTGCCTGGGTTGCGGGCACGTCCCCAGTGGGAGATGTGCAGGAGGCAGCTGATCGATGGTTCTCTCTCATCGATGTTTCTAACTATCTCTCTCCCTTCCTCTCTGTAAAAAATCAATAAAAACATATTTAAAAAAAATGGCAAAATGTTAACGATTGACTATAGGTAGAAGGTATATGTGTACTGATTGTAATGTCTTCCAACTTCTCTATATGTTTAGGTATTTCCATGATAAAAAGTTGGAATAAGCGTAGTGGGTGCCGAGTCATTTGGCCAGGGGCGCCCCTGAGTGTCTGCCTGTGATTGACTTGAGTGACCCTCGGCCTCCTGTGACTGCACCGATGACGTAAAGCATGGGTGGGCAGGGAAGGGAGCCACGCGGGCCTGGCTGGAGACAGGCGCCCACACCACCATGACCTCTGCAAAGAAAGTCAGGGCCAGCCCTGGCCAAAGAGCTTCAGGGATTGGAGGCAGCTTCCGTGGGTGGTGAGCAGAGTCGGGGAGGGAGGTGCTGGGCTTGGAGGGGTGGCCCGGTGGGTTGCAGAAGGAAGCTTCACAAAGGCAGAGAACAGCCTCCGGGCAGCTGGGGCCTGGGGGAGGGGACGAGATGCCATTCAGGCTACGTCAGGAGCCTCTTATCTGTGGCCCTGGGAGCACCACAGGCCTACAGGGCCTACGGGCAGCAGGGGCCGGAGTGGCCCCAGGCTCTTGCTATCAGCTGAAATCTGGTCTCCAGTTCTCCCACTTGAGGCTCCCTCTCCTGGAATCCCCACTCCTAGGTCCCTCTTGTCTTGTTTTGTGCTGACGCAAAGCCGGGCGCTGGGTCTCCCATTTGAGAGAAATAGCTGGATTCCGACACCAGGGGCCCCTGGGCAGTGGGGGTCCGGCGCCTCCAGCAGGCCCTTGTCAGGAGAGGGCCTCAGGCGAAGGCATCCGAGCCGCACATCTGTCCTCAGCGAGCCAGGACGCAGAGGCTGGCCGTGCAGGGCTCATGGGATCGTCCTGTGTGATCTCGGATGGGGTGTCAGGCCTCACTCTGCCTGTTTGAAAAGCATGATGTGGGTTTCATGGGGGAGGGGCGGTGCCGGGAGGAAGCTTTATGTAATTCTTGGCTGGGACTCAGGTAATTGTTTTAATGAAATGGAATGCAGCTTATTCAGAACTCACTTGGCAGAGCAGCCATGTTCTGTTCTGTTTTCTTGTGGGGGGAGCGGGTCACACGTTTCCAGCTGTTGCGAATAGTAGGACCCTGGGCCCTGGGCGAGCAAGAGCAAGTGGGGGCAGCCTCCGGGAGCTGTTTGCAGTGTCTTAGGGAGCCAGTTAGCTCCGGACCCTCAGGCACGTATCGCCTTCTCCTCTGGCCCCCAGTCTGTGTGTCTTTTTTGTTTTTGTTAAGGAGGATATTTTTTCCATTGATTTTTAGGGAAAGTGGGAGGGGGAGAGACAGAGAGAAACATGGATATGAGGGAAACACATCGATTGGTTGCCTCCTGCACGAGCCCCAGAGGAGCCTGCCCTGGTACGTGCCCTTGACCAGAATCGAACCTGGGACCCTTTGGTCTGCAGGCTGACGCTCTATCCACGGAGCCAAACCGGCTAGGGCTGTGTCTTTTGAATGAGCCACGGAGAATTGGGCCTCTTACAACAATTAAAAACAACAAACACCTGTTGAAAGCAGGCTGTCAAATGGGCCCAAATCCCGCCTTCCTTGATTGGGAGGCCCCACAGGATGAGGGCAACGGAGATGTCTACACATGGCAGACAGACCCTCCAGGAGGCCCTCTGTCTTCATCCACTCTTCACTCCACCCCACATGTCTTTCTCCACCTCAGCACCTTTTATAACTCACAGTGCCCTCCCACCCCGCATCTCCCATCAGTGCAGGTTGTTTTTTAAAAATATATTTTTATTAATTTCAGAGAGGAAGGGAGAGGGCCAGAGAGATAGAAGCATCAGTGATGAGAGAGAATCATCGATTGGCTGCCTCCTGCAAACCCCATACTGGGGATCGAGCCTGAAATCAGGGCATATGCCCTGACCGGGAATCGAACCGTGACCTCCTGGTTCATAGGTCGACGCTCAACCACTGACCCACGCTGGCCAGGCCAGTGCAGGTTGATCTTTACCCCTTTTCTTCTGGTGTTTTTACCTTTCTGTTCTTCCTAACTTCTTTTGTTTGCTTCTTTTCTGTGTTTTTTGGTTGTTGTAATCTTCATCCAAGGATATTTTTGCCTCTGGCATATGCCCTGACTGAGGGCAAGGGGAGTGAACCCACACCCAGGTATGTGCCCTTGACTGGGAATCAAACTCATGACCCTTAGATGCCCTAGGGCCAACATTCTATCCAGTTAGCTACACTGGCCAGAGCAATGACGCCTTATTCTTGAACAAAAACATTTAAAATAACATGTTGGCTCTAATGACTATTGCACAAACATAAATTTTATTATACTAAACCATTACATAAAAGGGTATGGTCTTTTCTTTTTTTGTAGTTTTATTCATTTCAAATGGGCCGGACCCGGCCCGCCGGCCGTAGTTTGCCCACGGCTGCCCTAGGCCAATACTCTATCCACTGAGCCACACCAGCTAGGGCATCCTTTTCTGTTTTTAGCTCGGCCTGGGCCATTCTTTTCTTTTGCTAGGCACACCTCCCACGCTTTAGTGGCCATATTTCCCCTTCTCTTCCTTAAGATCCGCTTCTTTTGTGTTTTCCCAAAGCTTTCGCTGGGTTCCCTGTTTCTCTCCTGGATTCCTAGGTCAGTTTATCTACTTGCGTGACCTCTTCTCTCACTGTGTGTTGGCGACTCCTAAATTTATTTTTCCACCCTTGACGTGGATGCCATTGTCCAGATTCTTCCGGCCTGAGACCCAAGTCATTTCCTTCTCACTCTCTCCTCGTGGCCTCATCTATTGTCTGCTCCCTATGTTTGTCCCCGCT